TGGCGACCGGACGAGTCACTATAATTTTTGGACGGCCCCTAGGGGGATGGGATATGTGCTCTGATGCGCACTGCTCCCAAACTTGCAGGGGTGTAAGTACCTGTTCACCTGCTGGATTTCTAGGACAAAGGAGAAAGTGGGAGAAGTTGGTCAAATCCTTTGTGAAAGCGGTTTTGGGCAGATTTAGCTGTTTTCCCTCGTCGCCCGCCCCTGTTACGCTTTTTCGCAAACTATATGCCCCGTATTGAGGAGGAACTAGCCGCGGCCTGTTGCACTACTAAACAACTCACTAGATGAATATCTAAAGGTCAAATTTGGCACATGAGTTCCGGACTTGGTATGTAGACAGGGACGGTGCATACAGCAGCTCTGGGGCCACGTGCTCCTTCATTGCCAAATTAATGGCGTGTTATAACTACACGTGGCTAAACGTTGATTGAAAAATATATCTAGATAGACACGTAACGATGGAAAGATCGAGATCATGCAATGCTGCTATGCGACAAACAAAATGTGTGTGTGTGTGTGTGTGTGTGTGTGTGTGTGTGTGTGTGTGTGTGTGTGTGTGTGTGTGTGTGTGTGTGTGTGTGTGTGTGTGTGGTGTGTGTGTGTGTGTGTGTGTGTGTGTGTGTGTGTGTGTGTGTGTGTGTGTGTGTGTGTGTGTGTGTGTGTGTGTGTGTGTGTGTGTGTGTGTGTGTGTGTGTGTGTGTGTGTGTGTGTGAAGCGCTTAACTCCGTTTTCAGTGGATTTTTGTCGTCGTCCCCCTTTTGTGCAGCTCTGCGCGTGCCCATGTATACAAAACAGAGGATGAAGCACCATGGGGGTAGTTCTCCTTTTCAGTTGGGGACGCTTCAGCCCTCCACCCTCAACTTGTGTTCCAGCCCCTCCCCCAACTTCGCGAGAAAGTTGGGGATGTATGTGGTGGCAAAATTCGGGGAATAACCCGTTGTTGAACTTTGAAGTAGCTTTCATTATTTTTCACGATTCAGCCCCCCCCCCCCTCCCCCTCTCAACCTACTCAGGGAGATTACGACCCCGAGCTGCGCGGATTCAAAGAGATGACAAGAATGGACATAACAAGCCTGTTATCCTTCCAGAACTCCGCCTGCCCTTCCCTACACCCACCCCCCCGCTTAACTTATGCTCCAGCCCCCGGGTAAAGATCCCTGTTTTCGGTGTATCTCTAGAGTAGGTTTAGTCATTTTCATTGTTAAGCCTCCCTCTCCCCCTCTCCTCCCATCTAGCTCAGTCCGCAAAACTACGTCCCTATTAATGAGTTTCTAAGGTGCCCCTGATGCAAACTCAAAGTGCAGGCATCTCACCCTTGACAGGATTGTATCCAAACATTTAACAACTGCATAGAGCTAAATAACCCAACACACAAACTCGCCCTGGAAGCAAATCCTGCACTCTACAGCTAAATTTGAGGCAACCGCGCTGTCACACAAAGACTTATTTGAGTTGAGACGAACTTCAGAGCTTCGCAAAGTTTGCAGCAGTTCGTCGTCCATGTATGGTGCTTGCACGACGCCCGTGGTGTATTTCCAGGAGGTCGTGCTTAACGCAATGAATATTTAAATACACGCTTGTTTCACATCAGTTGCCGGCTCGGTAGGCGTGCGCAACTGTCGTCATTGCTGCGCGACTGCCGTCATTGCTTCGCGACTGTCGTCATTGCTACGCGACTGTCATCATTGCTGCACGACTGTCGTCATTACTGTGGGACTGTCGTCATTGCCGCGGGACCTTTGTTATGACTGTGGGACTGTCGTCATTGCTGCGAGACTGTTGTCATTGCTACGCGACTGTCCTCGTTGCTGCGCGACTGTCATCATTGCTGCGCGACTGTCGTCATTGCCGCGGGACATTTGTTATGACTGCGGGACTGTCGTCATTACTGCGCGACTGTCGTCATTGCTACTCGACTGTCGGCATTGCTGCGCGGTTGTGATCATTGCTGGGCGACTGTCCTCATTGCTGCGCGACTCTCGTCATTGATGCGTGACTGTCGTCATTGATGCGCGACTGTCGTCATTGCTGCACGACTGTCGTCATTGCCCCATGACATGATCCAGTACGCATTAGTGGCGGCCGACTGGGCATAGCCTGGAAGGTTTGGTTCGAGAGTACTACGACACTGATCACAGAACAGTGATGCGATGCTATTCACGGGATTTTTCACTTTTACGTGTGGCTAGCTCGCACCCTGCGTGTTACGGGGACAAGCTGTGCATTCCAACTTCCAAAGCTGATTGGGAAGGCAGGGCGCCCGCGGCTGGGTATGTGAGGGTGATGCACCCTCGCCTGGGTCTGCGATGACGGTCCGTATTCGACTGGGTCTGTGAAGGTGGTGTGCCCTCTGCTGGGTCTGTGAGGGTGGTGCGCCCTCGGCTAGGTCTGTGAGGTTGCTTAGCCCTCGGTTGGGTCTGTGAGAGTGGCTTGCCCTCGGCTACGTCTGTGAGGGTAGCGCACCCTTGCCTGGGTCTGGGACAGTGTCGGCTGCGCACACCCGCCGCCAGTAAGGCACGCCGCATTCCGACCCACGGGGCGCATGCTGATTAACCCGCACGACCGGAAGGGACAGCGGGATTTTTGTGGCCCGGCTCGGCGCGGCGGGGGTGGGAGGGGGAGGATAACCAGGTGCGGGGAGGGGTGACGTGAGGCGTGTGACTCGGCCCGCCTCCCGAGCACCGCCGGCCGGTGACGGTATTGTCCCGGTGGAGCGGATTCCTGCCCGGCAGCTGGACCGTGGCGTGCACCTCGGCTGGGCTTCCATTGGTAGCGTCAGCGTCGAGCGGCGACGCAACCCGAGCTGCCAGACGCTGTCCAGGAAACGCGCTGCACTGCACTGCACTGCAATGCCCTACACTTCACTTTACTGCACTTTACTACACTGCACCACACTCGTGTGGGACGTCAGTACGACTTACTTCATTAGTTGGCTTTGTTGGCTCTCTGATGTTTCAATGGTGAGACGCATGCCGCTAAATCTGATATTAATCCTTCGACGTCGTGTATATTATTAATTAGCTCTCGCATAACTTGATTACATTCTGATATTTCAGGGGTTAAAGACGTTATAAAAGGGATATACATATCAGGAGCCGAACGAGCAACCATAAGCGTCACACGACGTTTTATTCACGAATGCATGGCTATTGGGATCGAGACATGACACACCACGGTCCACAGGCAGCAGGTTTTTCACCCCAACTTACGAATACAGAGAAGGCTTAACGCAATGTCGTGTCGTTAATTAAATGGAAGAGCCGACAGCCACAAAAATAGCATTTGATGTTCATGGCATGACATCGTGCCTGAATGACGGAACACAACAGAACGTGACGTGTTCCATCGCATCCTAAAGTATTTGCATCATATTAAGCTGGTGTCATGAATCAAGAGAACAAATATATTTGATTTTCCGACCGTCTACTAAATATGACTGGGTTTATGACTTGCTTGTATCGTATGTGTGCCGTGGAAGACCATGAACGACATTTTATCCGCACATACTTACTATCTATCTAAACTAACTACATACTACCCTGTGGGCCGTGGTGTCCATTTAGAACACCAATCATCTGATAAGTCTGACGTCATGCAGTTGGCAAGCTAGCTTGGCAGATGGCAATACACAGCTAGTAAAATAGTTATGGACCATCATGGAGCTCAGCAGCGTGGACTGCAAGTCTGTTGCAATGGTTTGAAGACTTGGCAGTCTGTAACGTCGTGGCAGTTATCCTTTTCTGTTTCTTAGCTTTTTCTCGGCAGCTTTTTCTGCTCTTCAGGCAAACATTTTGGAATAATTTTCCGAATCCACAACGAGACCATGACATGGAAATAAGCCTGGCAAAAGCCAGCGTTGCGGAAAATGTAGCAATTCTTTGATAACACAAATTGAGCGGCACCAGGTTCTTGTGGTGAAAATACATGGAGGCCGAAGGTGATAGACAAAACAGAAAAGAAGGTTGTCCAGCTCTTGCCACAGCAGACAACTGGTCATAATGTTAAAGGGGTGTCCCACATTTGTGTGAAATTATGAACAAAATAGCCATCTTGGAGATCACTCGCTGTAGTTCACAGTCCTGCCCTTCCAATTGCAAAGCTCTCTAGTTTCTGAGATGTATCCCTGCGAAGATGTGCAGATTTATTTTCGTGCAGACTATTTCAAAGTCATTCAGGCATGCTTGACGCCATATTAAGGCCATTGAAATCCTGGCAACGGTGGATTTGAATGAGGTTGTGTTGAATTAGACATGCGGCCACCTCGCTGGAGATTGAAGCACTCCAAGTAGGTGCTAGCGTGACAATTTTGCATGACCAGTGTGACAGCACCTCCTACGTCACACAAACGCTCCATGAAACAATACAAAATGAGGCTTTGGGGATCAAATTTACGAAAAAAAGAAATTGGGCTGTCTACAATGGTCTTTTTCGCTTAAAACATACCAATAGTGACAAGTGAGCATTTTTCATCATATCTCATGCTTGCTTTAATATCCCCAAATGCGGAACATTCGCTTTTAAGAAGGGGGGGGGGGGGGGTAGGAGGGAGGGGGGCAGAGGGGATAGGCGTTTGCAGGGTAGGCCGCCAGTCATCTTCAACGAACAACTCCGAAGCGAATCCACTTCCGGCCGGTCGCCTGAGTGTTAAGAAGGCAAAAGGGACGCCGCAATCGCCCGGCCGCCGGCCAATTCCCGTGACGTCATCTGGCTGCTGGAGGTCCCCTGCCGTGGCGCGGGTGGCCCCGCAGTGCGTCCCCCTCCGTCGGCGGCGGCTGGACTGTTTGCGAGGCGGAGCCGACACAAACAGGGCCCGACCGCTGCCCGGCGGCTGCTGCTGCCGGCCCCCGAGCGCCGCCGAGGAATGTTGCCGACCGGGGAGGGGGGGTGCGGGGGGGGGGGGGGGGGCGGGGCTGGGCAGTCCCCGTCTGACGCCCCTCTTGACTGCACGGGCCCCGCTGAGAGCTCGCCAAGTGACCCGGAGGCGCGCAGCCATGGCTGCCTGTGACCTGGACAATACCCATGACAGCCTGCACAGGCTGCTGCGACAGCGCATGGCGTGCAGCAACATGCTTCACTGCGACAGCGGCTACAGCTCCGCTAACCACTCCAGACAGACGTCCCTTGGTGAGTTCTGTTGCGATTGCTGAGCAAATGGGTACATGCTGACATCCGCGCAAACCTCCTACCAGTTACAGATGTGCGGGACGCATGAAATTCATTGCGAACTTGAGGATTGATATGCGATGGATTTGTGCTACATCCGACGTTTATCACACTACTTAATGTTGTCTTCGCGCACTTGATGTGCTTTGCTACTTTGTGCACCGCTAATGCGTCTGCTGCGCACCAATACTGAGCCAAATACGTTCGTGTCTCCGCAAGCATCGTAAGGCATTTGCTAGCCGACGGTCTGGGAGGGGCGGGCTCACGCCAGGCCTCTCACCGCCTGAAGGCACTCGCTGTGGGTGCCGCACCTGACCTCTCGACTGTCTCTTCAGACTCGAGCGCCGCGGTGGAGGTCGAGCCGTCCGCGTCACGCCTCCTTGGCACCGCGGAGGCGGTGCCGGCAGGCTGCGTGGGATCGGCACGGATTCCAGGCAGTCGCGCTACTCAAAGTTATCATGACACCGCAGAAGACTGGGTAGAGCGTTTGTCACCAGCCGTCTACAACCACAAGACTATCAGCGGGCGGGTCTGGGTCGGGCGTGGACCGCCATGTATCGGCGATCTTAAGGTAATCTAGGCATCGCGGTAGATTGGACCCGATGTTCGGAGTTTATGGATCATGAGATGTTTTGGGCTACGTCGGTGCCCACTGATAACGGATCCTATGTTATCGTCCATTTGACGATGAATGTTTTTTTCTTGATGACAGGTGGCTGTAGATATACTTGTTGCTTTAGGGCACATCAACTACGCTGGTTACTTGTGCCAAGCTAGATGCGTCAAGAATAACAAAATAATATGCATATCTGTATGGGTCATCCTCTCTAACGTCGTCTACGTATTTGCCTGCAGGGGCAGTTGACGTCAGTTGGTGTCACTTCACCTGTCCGCGATCCCGGCTGGCAGTCGTCAGCGGCACGTGCAGCGCCGCCTCTAGAGTCGGCCCGGCCCAGCGCTCCCCCGGCGCCGGTGTACCGTGCCGTGGTGCCGGCGCATTGCCCGGAGGACTGGCCGCGGCGGCCGCCGCTCGAGGTGCCTCCCAGCACGGACTTCGTCTTCACCCGACTGGAGATTGGACGGGCGCGGCGGCCGGCACCGTTCGTCCGTCTCTCGGACGAGCTGGCGCTGCGCGTGTTCTCGCATCTGTCGGCGGACGAGCTAAGCCGGTGCGCGCGCGTCTGCCGGCGCTGGCGCCGGCTGGCCTGGCAGCCGTGCCTCTGGAGCGACATCAGGCTGACGGGCGGCTGCGCTGACCCGGACGGCGCCCTCGGCCACATCTTCCGCCTGCTGGGCCGCCGCCAGCCGGGCGCGCTCTGCCCAGCCGTGCTGCGCGTCCGGCTGGACGGCTGCTCGCGCCTGACGGACGCCGGCCTGGCGCAGCTGGCGCACCGCTGTCCGCAGCTGCGCCGGCTGGAGCTGCGCGGCTGCACGGCCATCAGCAGCCGGGCGCTGACGGCCGTACTCAGCAGCTGCTCACGGCTCCAGCATCTGGACGTGACTGGTCAGTGAGGCGGCGGCGGGCTGGCAGAGCGGCCCCACGTGGAGATGACAGTGTGCACTGGCACGACGTGACTGTCATCACGGCCAGTTGTAGTAGACATGAGCTCATTCTGAAGGGGAATCTAAAGAGAATGGGTCCTATACGATAATAAATGAGCCGACTCACGGCCTGAAACTACACCATTCAGCGCTGCTGTGGCTCGCAGTTTTATGGCTTGCATTTCAATTTTGAATCGCATTCTCTCGCACGCCAAATGTCGCTAATCATGTTATCAATGCCCGATCAAAAATGCAAAATTGGTAGCCTGAAGGCAATGAATGATACCCAGGCACAATGGGCGGTACTCTTTACACGGTTCTCCGAGACGGCTTGCTTCCCTGCCGGTAAGAAGCGCTCAAACTGTGCTGTTTGCATGACTTGACCGAACCCATTTTCACAGGATGTGACCGGCTGACCCGTGTCCAGTCTAGCTCGGCGGCCGGTCGTCTGCGTCTGCGGCACCTGGACCTGTCCGGCTGCGGCCGCCTGAGCGACGCCGCCCTGCGCGCTGCAGTCGCCAGCTGCCCGCAGCTGGAGCGGCTCTACCTGCGCCGCTGCCACCAGCTGACAGGTACGCCCTTCCTCGCAGCGGGCGGCTCCGAAAGCGCGCCGCCCGGTGGACGTCCAGCTGCAATACACTTGATAGGTGCCGCGCGCTGGCAATCATTATTCAGCATTCCTCGCGGCACCGATAACATGTATCTGTTGCTTCCGTGGACGAGAATACTGCCGCAGTTGGAATGCGCGGTGAATACGATAAGCAGACTAATCGGGCGAGCGTGCTGCATGACAGTGTGTGCGTAGGCGTTTACTGTTACCGCACAACCGGCGATGCGGTGGTGAATCATAACGCTGCAGCCTGCTCAGCTGGCCGGCCGGACTGAGCGTGCGCCTCTCCTCCTCAGACGGCACGCTGGGCCTGGTGGCCGGCCGGTGCCCGGCTCTGCGCGAGCTCAGCGTGGGAGACTGTCCCCGGGTAACGGACGCGGGCGTGCGCCGGCTGGCCCCGCTCGGGCCTGGCCTGCGCCACCTCAGCCTGGCGCACTGCCGGACTGTCTCGGACGCTGGCGTCGCGCAGCTGGCGCTCAGCTGCCGCCGTCTGCGCTACCTGAACGTGCGCGGCTGCGCAACTGTTGGCGACGCGTCGCTGGCGGCGGTGGCGCGCGGCTGCCGACGGCTGTGTGCGCTCGACGTCGGCAGGAGTGACGCGAGCGACCTGGGTCTCCGGCTGCTCGCGCAGCACTGCCCGGACCTGAGGAGGCTCAGCGTCAGGGGCTGTGAGATGGTGAGCGACGCGGGGGTCAGGCTGGTCGCCCTCCACTGCCGCGGCCTGCGGCAGGTCAGCGTGCAGGACTCGGCTGTGACGCTCGAGGGCTGCCGCACGGTAAAGAAGTACTGCAAACGCTGCACCATCGAGCACTCCAGACCCGGCTTCTACTGACTGCCGCGATGTGGCCACAGCTTGCTTGCCTTTGAGGCGTCGCGCACTTGCTGAGGGCCCATGAGCTGGCATTTGGCGGCCAAGACGCACTGTTCCCTGTTGCGCACATACTGTCCTGAAAAGCTGGAGCCAATGTGAGGCTCTCACGAACGATAAGATGGCTTGCAGGTCCCCCGTGTGATGTATTATCTTCGTGAAAGCAGATGGGGCGTGCATTTGAGATGCACTGGAGCATGATGGTGTTCATCACCTGTTTACATAGCACAGGGCATAGTTTACATAGTCTCCATTCTCATCCACGGTGTTATTTAGTGTGCGCGTTTAAGAAAGGAAATGTGGAAAAAGCTGAATATATGCTTTGCTGCAATATATGAATATATGAATATATGCAAACACTGACTTATGTGCTTGAGACTGCTGATGTCAACACTGATTGTCTTTTTCTTCTTCAGCTTGCTAACGTCTTTGTTTAAGCTTTAGTCCGTCTATTATGTGGATTTAAGTCTACGTTTATTCGGGGAGAGTTAGGTTTCTTCAGGCAGGGTTAGGCATACTTCGTAACCTCCCAATTATCATGGCGACGCATTTTGAACGGTATGGAGGGCTTTGGTCATTTGGTCTTTTGGAAACAGAGTGAGTCGATGATTTGGGCAATTCCATTACGCACAGCTTGTAAGGGTAAGTTGGAACTACTAAAGACGCGGTGACACGCTGAGCTTGCGCCAAGCTTGTTGCAAGCTGCTGCAAATTACGGAGCACGCTGAGCTTTGTGTTACTTTTCTAAAAGGAAAAACTCCGAGAGAATTAATATGGGACTGTGTGTTTTAAGCCGTGCCCGGGCGGAGGAAGTTAGCTTACCCCTCCTACGGTTTTTCGAGCACAGCTAAAAAACGAACGCTCGCGTCAGCCTCAAATTGCCATGACCTGTTTATCTGTCAATTTGCCAGTCTGTATGAAAAGTGGAAGTTTTGGTCGGCCAAGATCAGTGACCAAGGTCAGGTGGAATAGGTCAACTTCTAAAACACTTTGACCACGCATGGCTTTTTGTGCATTATTCCCCATTGTTCAAACTTGCTGTAGTAATAGAACGCAAAAGTACCCACGTTTCGCTAAGTTCATATTTTTCAAAACCAGCTGGGTCAGTCACCTGAGGTTAGGTCAATGCTCGCTATTTCCCTAAATAATGCAAATTTGCACGTATTTTTGTACAGTTTCGGTGTTTGCATAAAAGGAAAAGTATAAACTCATACGCGTAACCATCATATAACCATAAAGCTCATGACGTTGACCTAGGTCATGACCTGTTTCTATGGTCGTCCTCTGCAAAACAAACTAAGTCAAAATAAGCAGTTTCAGCGGATAGTTTTGGCACTGAATTTGACCGTTCCTCTGAAGACATGTTGTGATATCATTCAAACGAATAATGAGGTCACAGTAAGTCACGTGAGGACATGCAATACGATATGAGATCATTCGAGGTCACCGGCCTATGTTGTCAGTTGCGGAGAAGCTAGATGAACCAGCACGATGCGTGTAACCACCTCTATGTCGTTTGTGCGAACATGATGGCATATAATTTTATGTACCGATGTGCGTGTTCTCAGTTTGTTACAAATACATTGCCAAGCATCAAAGGGACTACGTACAGCGTGCACAAGAGTTCTGCGATATTGAGTACCTGTAGATGTACAACACACCATTTCTGACGCCAGAAAAGCATTGCATTGGTCACTTGGACCCGGTGAACATTACAATTTTGTATTTGGATGGCTTACGAACTTGACTTAAGTTGGCCTCAACTGACCTCTAGGTCAGCCTATGGTGGTATTTTGTGCCTGGAATACTTGGCTCACAGCCGCACCTGATAAAAACCTGGCCAGAAGCGCATTGTAAAAGAAACAAAATAAATCATTGCTGTAGGCCACTGGCAGACCAGTTTTGAACGGTGACCGGGCCAGATCTGACCACTGTGGGAGGCAAAGATGGTCTGAGCGGACTCGCAGCAATCTCAACGCTTACTTCTGTGACCTCAATATCTGTCTTGACGTATCAACACGCGCTTTAACTGCACATTTGAGAACGACCATTTTTTCGTGACTTCTGGTGACATTCCATTTGACCTAAGGTAAAAAATTGGTGTGTATTTTTCATGATTTGACGAGACATTCACAACGGTATCTTTCTTACGATGTTTGGAAGTTGAGATCCCACAGAGGGAAGCCAACTCCCCCCCCCCCCCTCCTCCCCCCCCCGCCGCCGGGAGCGGTTGTCTCAGACCCCAGGCCGGGCGCAGGTTGAGTCTGCAACACCAGACTAAGAAGGCACGTATTCTACTCTGCTGCGTGACGCGTCGCCCACGATGCACGCTGCTGTTCTGTCGGCTCCTTATGAGCGGAACACTTACGGTACCAAACGAAATCAAATTAGAACTGGCATTTCAAGGCCCATCGTCTTTACCAAAAAAAATCGGGCACAATGCACCCAAATCATTAGCATCAAAGCTACGACTGACACCACTGGGGCTCACCAAACTGATCGCTAACAAGCGGCAGAGGTGATAAGAAGGTAAGCGGGTGCTTTGCCGACGCACTCGGGCTGCACATGCTAAGACATGAGGCTCCTGTTGATCCTGCTGGGCCGTTTTCTGCCTATATAACTACATGCAGGTGTCTAGCATGAGTGATGCGATAGCATTTGAGCGGGATGATTCCTCTCCGCAGCAAATGCCTCAAATTCCTGGACCGCATCTTCCTGCATAGATGACCGGCATGCTGTAGTCCAAATCAGCAGTCATCCCCCAGGTAGTATTGAAGTCATCAGTTCTGCAGCCACGATGGCCGTGGTCGTTAAACGGTCCGTTCTATAGTGATCAGCCTGGTATGATTCCCTCATGTTGTTGTCTTGTATGCCACCTATTGGCATGGGCGTCCAACTATTTTTGATGCTGGATGAAGTACATCTGTACGTCTATGATATAATATGGTTTCGTGTGTAACGTCCGCGTCATCAGTTCAGAAGCAGATTCTTTACGCGCCTCTGCTGATTTCCAACAGATATACCTTGCGTATGGGCTGAGATTTGTGGGTGTGATCACGATCGTACCCGTTTCTGTGCCTGTGCATATAATGTGCGTGCGTGTGCATATAATGTGTGTGCGTGTGCGCGAGTGCGCGCGCACGCTTGGCCAAGCACACCGCCGAGCGGGAAAGTGGCCCAGGTCTGCCGCAAAACACTGAACCAGCTAAGCAGGCTCCAAGTAGTCTGTACTTTGAGGTTCAGTGCAGCTGAACATGGGACATACATTGCTTTGACAGTCTTTTGATAGTCTAAGGATAAAACAGAGTATGTACAGACATGTGTGGTGTACATTCAGAATGGGGACACAGCTTGCTGTGTTTGTTCCCTTCTTAGTTATAGGCCTACATCTGCGTGAGTCAATCCTTTGTGAAGGAACTGGCATCAAGGGGCGGTTCGTCTGTTCTCAAACGCTATAACAGTGTAATTAAAAAGCCTATGTGAGGCAACTGGCATCGACGGGTAGTTTGCCCTGAAATGCCGGGTATGCCGCTCGGTGGTCTGCACGTATGAGGCAACGCTAGCAGTTTTGGAGCACCAGCGTCTAGCGTTCTCACTTCGTTTTGGAACACCGGCGTCTAGCGTGCTTACTTCGTTTTGGAGCACCAGCGTCTAGCGTGCTTAATTCGTTTTGGAACACCAGCGTCTAGTGTTCTCACTTCGTTTTGGAACGCCAGCGTCTAGCGTGCTCACTTCGTTTCATTCTATGTACAAGTTGCGTTGCCATTCTTATCAATACTGAAGCTCAACGATGGGCCACTTAAATCATCTAAAGTCTCGAAATGTAAGTGCGAGCCCTCTGTTCCGCCCTACAGTTATCGCTTGTCAACTACCGTCGGGTAAGAATGGCACCAATAGCGGGAGTTTCCTGCCATTGTCTTTGCTGGTGCAGGTTTTAATCGGCTTTTCTGACTGGTGGAACATGCCGTTGTGAAATCTCGTGTAGGTCGGCTGGTGCCCCGGCTGTCATGGGACCGGTTGCTGCGCTGGTTCCGGCCAGGCCGAGAGTTCCTTCTTGGCCTGGCTGTGAAGAGGTTGGTCTCTGCGCTGGGTCTAGCGAGCTGGCCATGCACTGGCGCTTGCGGGCCATGGATTGCTTTTTGCTTAATGCTAATCTTGATCCGGTGATGTCGAAAGATTTGCCGACCGGAAAAAGCCACGAGCCACTCACTTCGGCACCAAACAGCAGAGGGAATTTAGAACATAAACCCCTGGTATTTGGGCATTGCAGGGGGGCGGGGTATATGCTCTAACTTCATTGTTATTTGGGCATTTGGGCGCTGCATGACCTGCAGCAGTCGATGCGCCCTAAAACCTCAAAGCGCCATCATCATCATTGGGCATTGCAAGGAATACGAGTGAGTAACTGAATCGCCAATGAAAGGTCGACTGCAGCGGCGGCCAATGACAGTGCACAGAATACGACCGACGTAAGTTGGCTTCAGTATTAGTAAAACAAAATTAGCATCTTTTAAGGCGTTGAGTGACCAAAAATTTGCTCCTCATTGTAAGAACAAGTTCCATGGGATAGCGTTCCGCAACAGCAGAGTAATGATTAAAAGGATCATTTCAAAGCGTCAAAAATAGATACCACCCTACTATGTATGCCCAAAAGGTCTGAACAGGTATTGTGTTCTACTGTATTCTAGTGAATGGTAGGGCGCTTCGTACTTCCTACTACTAAGCGCACGAAAAGAATGGCCGCAATAGGCAGAGAATTGAAATACGTTACGCCAAGAAGCATGATAGCACCTGAATGAACTGACTCAGCACAATTTGCTTACAGACTAAGAACAAAGATTGTTACGATACGACCGTCCCAAATGGCTTGGACCAGGAATAACACAGAAAGTGGGGTGCCATGCTAAAAAGATATGGTTGTATGTCCCAGGTACGGTTGTATGCTATAACCAGCCCCTCACGCG